CATTTCAGAACTAAAACCACAAAGATAAAGGCATGCTTATACAAATCCAACTATCCCAGAACTGGAATTGGGCTAAGCAGCTTTCCAATTCTAGGCAACTCCTAAAACTGAAGCGTGTTTCTGGAATGCTCAACAGTGATCTCTTTGAGAATATCACCAAGCAGAAATCCATGTTAATTCAAAATCTTTAGAAGTCCACTGGCTTTATAGCTTTTCTCTTTCAAAAAATTATTGCTTCCTTTGAGGATACTTGTCAAACTGGAAGAGGTGAACAACCTCAAAGTCATTAATTTCTTTCAAGTTTCCTGAAAGAGAGTAAATTATTTAAGATGGGAAACCTATGAACATCCCCACAGATGGGGAAACTATTTGCATTCAGTCCTTATCATGCACCAGTAACCCCAGTGGATAAGTGATCAGGTGCCCAAGCTAGAAAGAAAAAAAAGCTTAGAGTTTACATGCTAGAGGTGAACAACCTCAAAGTCATTAATTTCTTTCAAGTTTCCTGAAAGAGAGTAAATTATTTAAGATGGGAAACCTATGAACATCCCCACAGATGGGGAAACTATTTGCATTCAGTCCTTATCATGCACCAGTAACCCCAGTGGATAAGTGATCAGGTGCCCAAGCTAGAAAGAAAAAAAAGCTTAGAGTTTACATGCTAGCAAGTATTCAACCACAAGACAGAAATCCACAGGAGAACAGGGTTCACAGCACTATTGCTCACTTTACCGCTAATCTGAATAGCTGGTTGACAGCAAATAGAAACACCCATGCTTCAATACACAGTTTCTTCACAGTGAAGAATGAACAGGGTAACACTGAGTTATCTAAAGATGTATGTACTCATCAGTATAGAAAGAAGTGCTCCCCTAACTCTTTTGTTGAGCAAAGCATTGAATTTTTAATAGCAGTTTCTTCTCTCACTTGGTCTTTAGTCAGCTTTAAATACTCTCTGCACCGATAGGGTTTGAGATCCATTGCTGTGTAGAGCTTTCCCTCAAGACTTTTAAACAACATATCCATAGTCCTTGGCAGAATACCAAGGTCATCTTCTGACCCTGGAAGCAACATAGAAGAGAAAAACCCCAATTATTACTGGGAACTAGGTATCCATATAAATGAAGACAGGAAGATAAGCAATGCTAATCTCAAGGCATACACGGTCCCTGCTCACTCGGACAAAAGAGTCTCACACCTAGTAAAAAAGTTATTACAGCCTTACAAAGCTATATCACTAGATGTTCATGTAAAGTCTGGCAGTAACTCTGTCTGTTGGCAGTTCAGTGATATTTGTTACAGAAGGAGACTTTCAAAAGCTCCTTATTAATAGTCAAGAAAAGCTAGAGTATAGGGCCTACAGTTTAAATAAAAGAAAAGCTTATAACATCCCTGCTAGAAGTAATCCTCACTTAACAAAAAAAGGAAGTTAGTTCATTCAAGGAGAGCACATTTCCACTTCTACCTTGGAATGTGTAGGTTTTTCCAGCATTTGTAACACCATAGGTAAAAATAAGACGATTATAGCCATCCAAGAAATCTTGCACAGGTTGCTTCACGGCACCTTCAAAGAATTCTTCTTGAGTTGTTTCAGGTCCAAACACCTAAGCATTACCAAGAAACAATTTTATATTGTTGAAGCAATTGTTAGACACTGCTAAAGAATCTTCAAAATTCTTGATGTTTATAACCTTAAAGCCTATTGATAGTTTAAAAATCTAGGTTGCTTGGTATTAAATAACGTAAGTTAAAGAACTTTTTTCCAGGAATAAATTAGAAAAAAAACAAACAACTTTTAAAGATACTTCATTTACTTGTGAAAAAGTGAACTTCTGCATCATCTGTCCAGCATTTTTTTCACTCAGTCGACTCAAAGAGTTTTGGGGAGGCTTCAGTATGATCCTTGTCGAGTCTTCCATTGAAACACAGTCCTATTTAAAGGAAGTACAAGCAATGCAGGCATGAAAAAGAGTATGAAGAGCTCATCTTACAGGAAAAAAAAAAAAAGCCAACATACATTTGAAGTATTTTAAAGTAATTAAATGTCGCACCTGCAATTCATTTTCTCTTTCCAATGCTGTAGATGGTTTAACACGCAGACAAACTTGTATGTGTCCCTTAGGCTCCAAAGCGCTCCTCTTCATTTAAAATAAAATATAGATTAAAAAAAATGTTACTAGATTCTTTGTTTGATAACTAGCACGTTAAAGCATTAAAGGAGTTTTCTTTTCAGCAGGCTATTTTGAACAGATTTCCTTCATGACATGGGAAGCAAAAGTCATTCACTCCATCAGTTTTTACAAGTGCTTAGGTCCCTGCAGAAGGGCCCCCTGCTGTGATAACTTGGGGTCAACAACCTTGCAACACACACACACACTACATTCAGGTCAAGGAGAGATCAAGGTTAAAGCATTAAAGGAGTTTTCTTTTCAGCAGGCTATTTTGAACAGATTTCCTTCATGACATGGGAAGCAAAAGTCATTCACTCCATCAGTTTTTACAAGTGCTTAGGTCCCTGCAGAAGGGCCCCCTGCTGTGATAACTTGGGGTCAACAACCTTGCAACACACACACACACTACATTCAGGTCAAGGAGAGATCAAGAATGAAACCCACAAAAGCGTTCCATGATTAAGCTACTCTGAACTGGCAATCAGCCTCCATCACAGAGGACTGATGCATCCAGGAACGTGTCAGTGCAGTGCTGCACAACTTACTATGTGTGTCCTCCAGATTAAAAACATCCTGCAGATGCTTTTCATCTTCTCTGTAAAATTCTGAAAATTCTTATTGATGAAAAGACTACGCTTATTAAAAGAAAAACAAACCAAAATCCCCAAACAAACAAAAAACAACCACCAAAACCAAACCCAACCGTCTAACCAATGCAAACATTAAAGCCTTCTTACCCAGCTTGTGTCTGAGCTTGAAGAAACTGAAGAAAATTCAGTAGAGAGATCTGTTTTAATATCTTCCACATCTACTGGTCCTGCTCTTTGAGGTACCTCAACACCAGCAATAAAGGATGGTCTGCAAGATTTCTCGTTATCCGAAGTCATTTCCATCCTGCAAGACAGAATAAAACTATTGTTTGCACTCTGATCACATAGCATGGAGCTTCTGAAGTCCCTTAAAAGACAAGTCAATTTGAGACCAAGAGCTGCAGTTTCTTCTAAAAAGGTTTCTTTATCCCATTCACAATTTACATAACAAGTTTCTGACAGTGGAAAGAGGGTCTGCAGCGGGGGTCATATCATGAGGAAACAAAAAGAGACATTCTTCTTTCAACAGAAAGCAACTGTTCACCAGGGAAAAGCTTTACACGTACAGCAGAACCTTGCTAAAAATAACGTCTGACAAGGAAGATAGAATTAAAAAAAACCCAAAAACACCCACCCAAACCAACAATCGTATTATTCCACATCCACTTTTCCATCATCCCATTCTAGTGTCCATTTAGAACAAAAGCTCATTGTAAGAGTAACTCAAACTTCATGGTTCTCTCTACAGAACCTGAACAAATAGTTGGTATTATAAAGATAACACAATGTAGCTTAATAAAAGACAGAGTTCAGAAACATTCTGAAGAGTAAAAGATGGTTTTAGCTATTGAAGGGGACACTAGAACATTAGAGGACTTCATTCCAGAGTCCACTCTAAAAAGTGCTTTTTAAAAAACATTGAGTACATTTTGCTTTACTTTACTCTCCTGTTGTTTTTTCCTGTAATATTACAGATGTGACTTGGCAGCCTTTGTTATGAGTCAAGTTTAAAATAACTCATTGGGGAATTATTTAGACTATGGCAGCAAGCATTCTAGCAATTAGACACCTACCACATGACCTCCTACAGTTTTGAAGCTTTGGACACAGCAGTTTAGTGGTCTGATAATACCACCTTCCTGTGTCTATGCAACAATAGTGCATATACACTATCTCTGTAAATACTAATGGAGAGCACACGGTGTTAACTAAAACAAGGCACTGACCAGGACTGGTTCACAGCCCCTTTGCTCAGGAAGAGTGTGGCCTATTAAGCAGTCACAACACTTTTGTTCCCCTCAGCATAAAACATGGAACACGTCTGCACTGCCATATCAAAATACTTTACATCGTGCTCATACTATTTACCCTGTAAAAGGCAGATACAGAACTTTAGGAAGCTAGACAAACTTCACCAAACTGCAAGCAAAGTAAAGCTGTACATGAGCTAAGCCACAACGTTTACTTTGTTTCTTCTAGTCTGCAGCTCTTCTTTTTGTCAGGCAACTGTATGAAGATAAGGCAAAACTTGGTTTGAAATATTACAACAGCTTGAACAAACACTAACCTGCAAACAAGCTACTACTGGAAAGAAACATACCTGTGTCGTCACGATCCAGAAGTCTTATCCGAGAAGGTCTTACCCGCCAGCCACACAAAGTCACACCGCGAAACTCAGGCCCTGACGGGAAACACATTTGTTAGATAACTGACATTTCAGTTGCTTTAAACATTAGCTTATTTAAAAGTGTGATTTGTCGAGATTATGCCGTCAGTCTTTTTCAGCAAGAGGCAAAAGACAAGCGTTAACCTGCATACGCAAAGCTGGAACTGAAAGCGTTCGCACGAGCCCGGCGCTCAGACCAGTGCAGCTCAGCTGACAAGATGCAAAAACCAAGACGCAGACTGTTCGTTTGTGTCACACAGCACTGCAACTGCCTCACGTACTGTAGTGTAAATGGGTACCTTGCCTGGCTGCAGCCACTAAAAGGTACTTGCTTACTGGGCTATGTTCTTGTAGCTTTGCTGATCAGGACAGCAGCGTTCAGAGCTACAGCCGCTCTAACAGCGAAGGGCTCACGGCAGCACGCGCAGCCTGCGGCACTGTCAGCTCGCGCAGGAACCGTTGGAAAAGGTTCCAACCGGCACAGCAACCGCCAGCTTCTGGAAAATACCAAGGACCAACCCTGGCACGTAAAAAACAAAGTGCAACATAAAATTTTCCCCTCTGCGAACATCAGTATGTCACTCGAAGGCTTCGCACTGCTTTCCCGTTCTTACGGGACGCTGCCGCAAGGCTCTGTCAGCATCACGGCCCCAGGTCGGGTGTTACCCGCGACTTGCGCGTCTCGCAGCAGTGCCGAAAAGTTTTCACGCTGCCGGGAGAAGCTAGGGGAAGGCGCCTCGGCACTGCCCACGCTGCTTCCCAGCTTCACGGGCCCTCACCGCCGGCACCAGCACCCTCTTCCCTCCCCAGGTGAAAGCCCAGCAGCCGTGCGACCCCCACGGACTCACCCAAGAGCCAAAATCGCTCTGGCTGGACCGCAGCCGCCGGGTACAGGCAGCGCCGTGCTCCGCTGCGCGTCGCTGTAACCCCAGGCAACAACCAACGCTCACCGGTTCAGCGCAAGCGGCGCGGGCGCGGCTTCTTTTAAAGCCCGACCAATGGCCGTGCGCGGCGCGCGGGGGGCCTTCTAGAAGGGTGGGCGCAGCCTCAGCCGCGGCGAAAGGCCCGACGGGAAGGGGGGGTTTGCGGGGAAGTGTAGTTTTGCGGGAGGCGGTGAAGCCGCGCTCGGGGAAGGTTTCCTTTCAGGCGGCGGCTGGGCCTTGCTGTGGCAGTGGGCTGTGAGGGGGTGTTTACTAAGACTCCTGCGTTGCACGTACCCAGAGCCAGCAGGGCCCGTCCCCTCAG